TGCACATTCAGGTTCTTTTACTACTTTAGTCAACAAAAGCTCTTTTCAACTGTACGTGACATTGTACATATATAATCCTCAGCACTTAGGATGCTGTGGCAGGAGGGTCACAAGCTCCTGGTTCTGCTGGTCTGAAGGATGTGTGTCATTCCAACTTACTAAATAAAAAGAAAAAAAATTAAAAATCCAATTTTGCACATTCAGGTTCTTTTACTACTTTAGTCAACAAAAGCTCTTTTCAACTGTACGTGACATTGCACATATATAATCCTCAGCACTTAGGATGCTGTGGCAGGAGGGTCACAAGCTCCTGGTTCCGCTGGTCTGAAGGATGTGAGTCATTCCAACTGACTGTTGTGTTTCCCCGTCTCACTACTGCACTTGACTAGTCTTTTGAAAAAAGAAAAGCTCTAGGCTAGCCCAGGCAGCATAGTAAGACCTTGTTTTTTGTTTTTTTTTTTAAAAAAAAGATCATTTGAAAAATAAACTTTCTTCAGAAAAATCATCAACCTGGGGACTGTACACTGACAAGTTAAATAAATTCGTACTCTAGATATGAAACTATGTAACACTCACTGGTGAAGAGACGGCGAGCTGTGAGCCTCTTTCTTGCCTACTCTAACGCTAACAATCGAGTACCGGAAAAAAGATCTGTTTTGATACAAGAAATCAGAACTGAATCCCAAGCTGCATGGAGTGCAGGTCTGGCCTCAACAATGAATTAATTAGGAGGAGCCTAAACTTGTGGCAGAAGGACTGGGCAAGAAGAATAAATAAAAAGGAAGAGTCTGACACAGAGTTCGGAAAACACTCATCAAAAGTCTATGACTAATCAATGCCAGAGGTGAGGGTTAGGTGGGGACCCCACTCAGGGATTTTTGGAGAGTGCTGTTCCTTCTGGTAGACAGCCATGATGAGGTAATGATTGATGGAACGGTATGAGTCTGATTTAGTGCATGTTAAATTCATTTGTTTGAGATATGATCTCTTTACACTGTAGCCTAGAACCGACTGTAGCCAAAGTGGCCTCAAACTCAAAAACCCGAGTATTACAGACATGAGCTACCAAGTCCAGCTCTGTGCATGATAAATGTCATAAAATGAAAAAAGAAGTAAACATGGTCAATAATCAAGCTGGTCATGGTGATACATGCCTGTAATCCCAGCTCATGGGGGCAAGAGGATAAGCAGTTCAAGGCCGACCTCTGTTACGTAGCAAGTCCAATTTCAACTGCCAGCCAGAGCTGGCTCAATAAAAAAGGAAAACAAACAAAACACCAATAATCTACTGTTAGGAATGTAAAAAGCTTGGGGCTGGAGCAATGGCTCGGTGGTTAAGAACACTGGCTGTTCTCTCAGAAGACCGGGAGCTAACAAACATCCAAGACTCCAGTTCCAAGGGATCTGATGCCCTCTTCTGACCTCCACAGACCTTGCATGACATGGGTGCACTTATACATATGCAGGCAATACACTCTTACACATAAAATAAAAATAAATGAAATATCTTTAAAAAGAATGTAAAAAGCTTGATTTTTACCACTTACTATATTCCAGAGACTGTATTAAAGTCCACTTTTATATAATTTACCTTCACAGCAACAGTATACCTGTAACATGAACACATTATTCTTCCCTCCCTCAGTTTACCAAAAGACAAATACAAACATACAATTTTTTTGTTTTTTTGGGGGGGAGTGGGGAGTTTATGAGACAGGGTCTCACTGTGTAATTCTCCCCGGATTCACTGCATAGCCAGGCTGGCCTCAAGCTCTGCACTCTCCCTGCCTCTGCCTCTTGAGTTCCAGGACCACTGGCGTGAGCCACCATGCCCAATAGAAAAAACAAAGTCATTGATAACTCATTAATAACTTGTTCCATAACCTGAGGTCCACCCTAGGACCCACATGATACAAGGAGAGAACTGACTGCTCCAAGTTGTCTTCTGACCTCTTCACATCTGCTGTGGCACACACTGGCACCCCCCCCAC